AACATGACCGACCTTTTTATTTACTTAAGTAATTACATATTCATATAATTACACGTGTATATAGTAGGAAAAGATATTAGTTAATTTAGCTTAGTCTGGCATGAGATCAGGAAGAATGAGTACTTTATAGGAAGATGGTGTTACGCCACTGAAGAAAGTACTGAAGGCCTCTCTCGAAAGTTAGTACACAATATTTTTTATCGAGAATAAAACACAAAGTACTCTGTGAATATGATCTTCCTAAACATCGGATGACATACAGGTCTTACGAGACATTGGCCTCGTCGGTAACAATTGTTAGTTTATGAATTTGGTGACATAATGCCTGTGAGTTCAATCCCTGGGTTGGTCAATGAGTACTTGCACTACGGCGAGCAATAACTGAACAGTACTAAATAAGAACTCGAAGATATCCCCAGAGGAACGAGAATACTTTACCTCTGTAGATTAAATAAAGGGTTCACTTCAAAATTCCATGTAGGTTACCCAGATCGATATATACTTGAGGAAGGCCGTAGGGCATAACGACCGAAACGTTATGATGAAAAGATGAGGAAAATAGTCCCAATATAAACAGTGTAAATAATGACATGAAGGCTATTGTCATTTTTCATTAACGAAATAATGTTTTAAACAAATCTATAATCATAAACAGACCTACTGGTTTGAATCACACATGTATGATACGAATGTCGCGGTCGACATTTGAAATCACACCATTTTAAAAATGAATAATGATGTATGATGTTCCGATCTGAGTTAATTATTTTAATTCAAATGTCAAAGATTAAACGGTTCAGTGGAAAACAATAAGAAAGAAAATGTTTCTAGAATTCTCCAAAAATTATTTTCATCTTGTTGAAAGAAGAGTTAAAAACGTTCGAAGTAAATTCTATGGAAATTCTTTATTTTACGCGGACCAGAAATTCTTGTATGTGTGACGTCACCCCCGGCCTCTCCGCCCCCGTTCTATCCTGTGAAGACCAATGTAACTTGGTATTGGTCGCGGCGCCAAATGTGACGTTCTAACCCTTGGCTGATTCGGATGGAAATCTGGTTAGATTCGGTATCAGCTTTGTCGTTCCCAGCTCGCCGAAGTAACTGCTTTGATTTCTAGTCTAACCTACCCACTTTGTGATTTGATCTTAGGTAGACGAAATCAATCAGTCGCCGGGCCCTAATGCAAGCCGAATTCGAGCAAAGGTGACATCGCACAAGTATATGTAAAAGAAAATAAAGTAACAACTCGAAAGATTCAAATGTGTTAAAAAAAGAATAACAAATATTTTTATATCTGGCTGCTGAATACAGGACTGGGTCTTTCTCCCAAACCGCTTCTATGGATACGTGACACTGCGTTTGTTAGGCGAGTCTTAATATCTTAAGTTGTTTTTCAATAACTGGTTTTTGGTATCTTCGGGCGATATTCGTAAAACTTGTTTTGGTGGTGTGAGTCTAAGTCGTTCTTCAAAAAGAAATTGTTTTTGGTTAGAAGTCTAAGTCGGAATGCATGAATCTTTCAGTCAGCTGCGAGGCTGGTCGCCGAGTTCACAGCTCAACTCTGTCTGCTCTGTCACTCTGTCTGCGTCTCCTCGGAACTCCCAACTGCCACTGTCTACTCCGTTTATATGGACGCCGACCAAAACCGGGTGTGGGCCTGTCGTGGTTTGGGTTCCTCGATAATTCCAAATCCGTAATAAGGATTTTCTTTGTTTCCGGACAGGAAAATTTATCACTTTCCATTTTTTTAGAGGGGTTCTTAAAGGAATTGTCCTCCCAAATTCTTCCTTTCTCATATTGGTATCTGTGAGGGTAACACAACAACTCAACTGATAATAGCAGGTAGGAACAAAAACCCGCGAGGAGGGTAACCGACAAAACCGGTGTCGCACGTCCAACCTTCTCATGAGCCAAAAGCCCTCTGATCCGAAACAGCAAAACGCGCCTGCTTTATACAACCGAGGACCGACCACGATTTGCATGCGAATGACGAGACAACGAGATTTCGCGTTAACTAACCGAGACCGCCCGGCATAAAACATGGGTGCCGCCATTTTGGTTCCTTTTACCGCTATCAAACTGGAGTTTGCACATCGCACAGATTCGCAGGCGTTTCCGAGGTAGGCCATTTTCACAATTTTCCCCACAGTATCTCAGACCAATCCCCTGAGGGGAGGGTCAACAGGTTTCCCTTCTTTCTCATAGTGGTATCTCACACCAATCCCCTCAGAGGCGCAACAGGTTTCCCTTCCTTCTCATATGTTTACCTTCGCCCATCGCTCACGCCACCATTCAGCCAATGAACGCTCGGCAGCGTGGGTGTGGCTAGTCTGGCCTCAGTTTACAATTATCGCTCAAAGAAAAAAATTATCTTCCTTTTTTCTTTTCTTTCTCTTTTTCGACCAGACCCCTACGACTCGTAGTGTGGTCCTTAATCTCTATCAAATGATTATCATCAGAACCTCCTTATGTCCTTAACGCCTTCGTACTTCTGTCGCCACAAGTCTTTTCAGGTAACAAACTTTTATCATGTCCAGGTGTGGACATAAAACAGGTGTCTTTTCCCAAAACCAAATGATATCTCCGAAAGATAGTTAATGGTTTATTCTTTCCCTTTTTCTCTTTTCCCTTCCTTTTTCTCTGGGGTGGTCTTAGCTGATCTTTTTCTCGGTCGGTACTCTACCTAAATTTGATTACCTTTTAGCATTCTGTTTTGTAGTCCACTTGACCAATTTGAAACTTTCATTATTGCCATGGGCAGATTGCTATCTTTTATTCGCCGCGTCATAGCATAAATTAATTCCGACAGATCCGAGATCTTACGAATTTCCTATCTTTCGTGAAAAAAAAACAACCTTTTTTTTCGCAAATGAAAATAAAATCTTTACCACTTTTCTTTGTTAAAAAAAAAAAAACATCGCTCAGTATGTATTTCGTGATAGCTTCTTCTCGCCTTAAGTATTTCTCGCTTTTAATTTTCACGCAACCGCTAAATAGTGTCACATATGGAAATAAGAAAGAATTATACGAAAATCGACTTCTTCATTATTATTTAGAAAAAAATCTTTAATATAATCTATCTATCTATCTATCTATCTATCTATCTATCTATCTATCTATCATATAAAATAAAATAATATAAAAGGCTCAAACACTAATATTCCATCGTTATAATTTATTACATTGGAATCGTAATTACGATCCAATTCATCAGACCTACAAATTCAAAAAGAAATCGGAAAATATAACTCAGGGTATAAAAAGATAAAATTTTAGTGAGAGTGTATGTGTGGGAGTGAGAGACAAGGGTGAGAGTGAAATCTATCTATCTATCTATCTATCTATCTATCTATTACATATATATATCGTATATATATTATATACATATAATATATATATAATATATATATTAAAATATAATATATATATATATTATATAATATATATATATAATGTATATATATATATATATATAATATATATATATATATAATATATAATTCAATATATATTTATATTTATATATTATACATATATATATATTCATTTATTTATTTTTACGTGTGTGTATATTTAGGCAGCATATCTTCAGTCAAACATGTTTCATTGAATAATATAGACATATTGTATCTGTTTTTATACTGATCCTTTCCAATTGTCTAATCAGTTTCTTGATGTTAGGATGAAATCCATCAAGGTAGCGGCCTTATTTTTTTTTTTTATTAACCCAAATACTTTTGACCTTTTCTAAGAACATCTTCAATGGGAAAATTACAAACCTATTATAACTGATAAAATCTGCATTCCGTTGTGATCGTGACTTTTAAAAGCCATGCTCCTTTATTGTTATTTTAGAATTTTTAAATTTATCCGTTATAGCTATGGAAGACGTCCTACACTTCGTTTTGCAAATTCTATTGCACAACACTTAAAGAGACATTCCTGCCCATTTCATAATATGGGAAAATGTTTGCTGACAACATCAATATACTACATATATGAATATAATAAAGAATAAAACTTTCAAATTCTCGACATCCTCTATATCAAAATCAACCTGCCAACACTCAACAAAATTTATTATGAATACAGCAAAAACGTATTAAAATGCATTTCTGATGCCATTTTACATTTCTACGAATTTCATGTCAGCTTCCAAGATATTGAAACGCTTGTTTTGTAAAAAATTTACAATTACAACTGATAAATTTAAAAATCCTAAAATATCTATAACAGAACGTGTTTGCGTTTTTTTTTAAATCACTATCACAACGGAATGCAGATTTTATCAGTTATAATATATTTATCTTTATAATTTACCCCTGAAGATGATTTTCGAAAAGACCGAAAGTATTTTGCTTAAAAAAAAAACTACAGCACCTTCTTTGATGAATTTAATATTCAGATGAAGAAACTGATTAAAAAACTGGAAAGAATCTGTTTAACAATAAGTAGACACAATATGTCTATATTATTCAATGTGACATATATATATATGTATATATATATATATGATAAATGATTTGGCAGAAAACTGTTTCTATTTGCTAAGAATCCAATCCACCGCTTTGGGGGAAATGAAAGATGCGAATACAATTGACAAGGAAAGCAACAAGTTCGCTAGAACTGAACATAATGTAGTAAAAAAGAAAGAGAGAAATGAAACTTCACGCTTTAGTAAAATAATTTACAAATCATTCGGAAGTCAAGAAAATAAAAAGAAAGGCTGCTAAATGCTACCATTTTTTCTTTTTTTACTTGTACAACTGCCAATGATGTCCGGGTAGAAATGACGTTGTTCATTTGGTGAAGCTCTCATCTGCAATTGTTCCAAACAAAAGAAAACTTTTCGCACTGAGTACGTCCTTCAATTGCATAACATTTTGTAAAGAACACTAAATGAGTTAACAGAGAAGATATGATTATATAAGCATAAAATATTTAAGAAATGAGTTGTATACTAATCTAGCTGGCCGTTTCCTTTCTATACTCTTTACAAAATGTTTTTTCTTGCCCTCAAGTGTCGCATGACGCAAAACCTTCACAGAAAGATCATTTTCCATTTTTTTGGGGGGGTTTGTAAATAGACTACAATATTTTTAAAAAGCATTTCACCCCGAGCAAGGTGATAAAGCAACATATGCAGGAGGTTACAGAGACTGAAGGAAATTTATGAGAAAATATTATTAAGAAGAGAAGACAATAAAAGAACAGGATTCAAGGAGACAGATAACGACGATTGACGTTGCATTTGCATCTTTGAAGATCGTAGTTGAGAGGAAAGCAAGAGGCCGGAGGAGTGTTTCATAACTGGGAAGAGTGAGAGAAGACACTATTAGAAAAGTATTTATGGTTATATGTAGCGATTTCAACTGTAACATGATGGGACCTATCTGCCAATCCAGTAATATGTTTAAATTCATGAAGTAAACTTACCAAAGAGGAAATTTTATCAAAACAATTGCCATGAAAATATCTGTAGAAAATGTAAACGGAATCTACGTACGTTGGTGGGAAAGTGACAGTAGCCGAGATGCCAGGTTAGGACCAATAACACTGCGGATTCTTATCTGGATTTTGTCAAGCATCTCTAGCTACATAGAATTAGTAGACCAGATGTGACATTTAAACGTACGTGCCAGATAAATTCTGGCGAGAAAAATGTCTGGAACGGCACAGTGAATCAACTTTCCTCACAGCATACCTGACAATTGTTTCGATAGAATCATTCTAGTTCATGTGAGTAAAAACGTTAGACTGAGAAGATGAATGAATTACTCTTGTGGAGGTTAGTATCAGTCACGCTGGTAGACAGAAATGGTTCTCTGAGATGATTAAAAGTTTAGTTTTAAAAGGCGTTCACATGAACATACTGTAACTTGTTTCAACACTGTAAGAGGACACGTGGTAATCGAAAGGCCAACAGATATATAGATATCTTTTAATGCTGGGTCACAAGATTTCTCTTAGAGTATCTGTTGAAGAGATATTCTATTATTTCCATGTCCTTGATGATTTTTTTTAGTTAGGTGGACATTTTTCAACTTGTAAACGAGCATGGTCTTGCATGGGTCCACTTTTTAGTTTGAAGTTTCTTCTTTGTAACCTGTGCCACATAAGAACTCACAATCATTCTCTACATTTATGTTGACATCTTGGGCGAATTATTTTACTTTCTACAATAATCTTCTCTTCTCTCTTATATAGTTTTCTATGTCGTGTTATTTGATTATTTGTATCAAAAATCCAAAGACGAGGAAAAGCCATCTAGTTCATCCAATGTAGCTCTACATTAATCATTAAAAATTGAAGTTGAGAAATCTTCTTCGTCTATTTTCTTGCCCAATTCACATTTTTCTCTTTGAGATCTTTACGTAAAGGCGTGACTTTCTTTGCTTTTATATCTTTAGCCAATGTTTTTAATATTCTGTTTCTCTCTCTCTCTCTCTCTCTCGGTTTTCGTATGGAAGCACATGTTGCTGCAAATATTCTCTCGTTCTACTTCTGTTTCCACCTGCCATGCTTATTATTCTTTTCAGTTTTCTTAAAAGATTTGAGGGACATTCTTAAAGCCAGTTTCTTTCTTGTTTATATCTTGACAATGTTTCCATTTTTTATTGTTCTCTGATCACTTTTCAACATTTTTCTCTCAATTTCCAACGTGTTTCATTCTCACAATATCTTTGCAATATCTTGTTTCTTTTTTGAGGTTACATATTACTTCCGAGGAGGCACGGTGGAGTAATATATAGCGGCTCGGATTGAGGAATCGGAGAGCCGAGTTCGAATTCTAGTCGAATCCATTACATTCACTTACGTGCTAATACCCTTGGGAAAGGCATGAATCCATCTCTTTTTTCTTTCTTGTGTGCTTATTAGGAGGCATGGAAGATTAATGGATTGTGGCTCAGATTGAAGAATCGAAGAGGCGAGTTCGAATTCCACTCGAATCCATTACATTCACTTACATGCTAATATTCTTGGGAAAAGTATGAATCCTCAATCCTCTTCTCCCACTAGCTATGGGTACGTAGCAGGACGGACCGGGTTCTATAGCCTTGGATGGCAACTGGTCTACCGCAGAAAGAAATGACAACCTACCTCGGGAAAATACTGCCTCGTCAGTCATGTATCGAAAGATACATGAATGGCTCATGGCACATAACTGACTAATATTACTTCCAACCTATGGTAACCTTTATTTGAACTTGAAAAAAGAAATCTCATCAATTATAACATTCATTTTTTATATGATGAACAACCTCTGAGTTGCATAATAAAGTCTTGTATCACCAAAGAAGTTATTATAAATATTTCTGATAAAAATAGACATGGTATGCTGAAATTCACATAATCTTAATTTATCGTATAATTAAATTAGTTAAACTATGTCTTGAAAGTTTTATCAATATCAGTTTTCTTCTATCTATCTATCTATCTATCTATGACGTCACACATTATGAAAGTCCGACAATTATTTCAAGACATTTTTATGTTTATAATAAACAGTATTAAACAACATTTACCGACCTGAATGTCCGAGAAATTTTCACAGAAAATATTCGTCCTTCGACAGGATTCGAACCTGTATCCTATACGGAACTGTCATTTAGCTTGACGTGCCTTTACAGATTTGGCCACGAAGGAGCGTTCGGTTAGCAAGGTCGAATCTATCTATCTATCTATCTATCTATCTATCTATCTATCTATCTATCTATCTAATGTAACCAGCGTCAAGGTTGACAGTAGAGTAAGACCGATTTGTGGCTAGAGATATTGACTAGATAAGTTAATTGCAGGAGAGTAGTTCACTCGCTTACTGCCCCACTCCAAGAATCGTCGCATACCAATGACTAGATATTTTGTTAAATTATCTGTTGATGAGATGACACAGTGGATACATGCCTTTCCCAGAGGCACCGCATCAGCCTCACCCTCAGCCTAAATTCAAAATCTTATTATCTATTTATATTTTTCTGTTAAATGTTACATCAAACTGTGTGTGCGTACATATGTCTGTGTGAGCGTGTGTGTATCTGCATTTGTATGCGTATGTGTGTGTGACAACCGGAAATGGTAAGGAAGATACTATTTTGTAGATTTTCATATCTCGTCCACGGAAACTTTATATCCTTTTAGACCTGTTTATTTTCCTATTTTAGCTGTAAATACTTAGCAAATGGTTGTTTTCGTGTTTTTCTTTCATTAATAACGTGTTAAAGAACATCTCTATGCCAGATAATGCGTGTATTGACGACATATTAACGTATATTTAAATGAGACATAAATTGATTCATCTCAATCGCGCAAATAGTAATCAGTCTAAGCGAACTCATTGCTGTCAATTTTATACCCTTCTTCAAATTACTGGGATTGGATTCAAAAGCAGTGTTTCCTTTACAGTCAGAAGCTTCATTTTAGCAAAGAGCGTCTTAACGATTTTAGTGGCTCGTGGTAGCGCTCTGAAATCATTGATTACATGTCAAGTCCTAAGTCGTGTGGTATTTGAAAGGCTCAGCATGGTTTCGTCACGCTTTAAGCGGTCACGATAGACTCGATTCATTGAGAGTGAGTTTTTTCTCTTCCTAAATAGAACATTTATTCACTAAAACAAGACTTACGTATTTTTGAAAACAGAAAAAAATGTGTTAATACCAATTCTTCTATTAACTCTTGCCACAAACGTAGTGACTAAAAGTTACTATTTTTGCAGTAAAGTCAGGTGTCATGTTGCGCAACAAGTCGAAATCTTTCGTCAACAGAATTGAAAGTTAAAAGCATAAACATTAATTTATTTACACAGACATAACTAGTGAAATTTCCTATGTTGTAGTCGCACTATTTTTTAGCTTCATGGTATATTTAGACCAATTTCACTTGGCGGCGCCCATCTCTACTCTAAGTAACATAAAACTGGTTGTACAAGTTAGTAGCAACATTATCTACAGTGACGAGTATTTCCCGATTTGATCTAAGGGAGAGGTGGGTTCTAACAACTATTTTGTCACCGGAAGTCACTCGAGTTCCGGAAATAACTGCTTTTATGTTTCATGGAAATGCAGATATTTATCTCTGGCCATTCAAAATAATACGATTCAGCGAAACATATTATATTGGTTTGGTTTGGTTTGTTTTACGGCTCATCAACCTCAATGGGTCATTTAAAGCCGACAACTTTTTTTTTTCTGGTAATATTTTTGTTTTGTCAGAAATCTATTTCTGTTAATATTTTTTTCCTCAAAAATATTTGGCTGGTAATATTATTTTTTCAAAAACGTATTATCAGAGGCCTTGCTGTTGGACGTAGGGTTAGGGTTATCGTCATATAGTCTCGGTGTTAACTATTTTCCCATAGCTGGGACCCTAACAGGCGCTACCACCCCGGGTCAGGGTGGACCTGGGAACACCAGGAATTAAGAGGTGGTTCCACGCTCCTCAAAACCTCCTGAACAGAGGCCTTGCTGCTGGATGTAGTTTATCGTCATACCCAGGACGCGGATGTAGTTTATCGTCTTACCCAGGACGCGGATGTAGGTTATCGTCATACCCAGGACGGCCAATAATGTTGTTGGTTTTTGTAAATTTAATAAACTTGTTAAAATAGTAAACGTTATTCAATTATAGAGCTAATTACTTTTAATGTCGTCTGATATAAAACAATGCTTTTGAAAAATCACCTATAAAACGTAATGATATCCCGTCCTTTACAAACTTTTCGGTCATTACCGGCAGTATTGCAAGATAAAGACTATGATCAGAAGAGCTGGAAGCTGATAATCCGGTATTCAGTGATCGACTTTGTAGGGGGGCCCTATCATTGATATCGAACAGTGCTAAGAGTTATACTGTAGGTTCACCTATCGTTCGGTTTATACCTCTCCACGATCTTTTGAACAGGAGTAGAGGTTTATCCCTTGTTTCCTGTTTAGGACTGGGTTATATATATATATATATATATATATATATATACCAAATCAGTCGGGTTTCGATCCCGGATTGAGGCAATCGGATGTCTAGCCTCACTAACGAGCTGTGAAACAGCGAAACAATCTGTCTGTGGATGAGACGTGTAACATGCTCCTGAAAAAAGCTATTTGGGGAGAAATGTGAATTTGTAAACAGTGACTATTACTACTGCTGATGCAAGACACTTCGATACGACGAATCGAGTTCCCCGGTCACTGGTGTGTTTGTCTAAAAATAAATACGTCTAAATAAATTAAATATGTCTAAATTCACCTTCATCCTTGCCAATGGCTTAGGGTTAAAATTTTGACTGATACAAAATCAGTCGAATTTTGACCCCGGCTTGAGGCAATCAGATGATGACAATTACTTTTCAATATATCAAAGAATACACGGACAAAGCAATAATGATAGTCTGTTTTTGTTGCAGGAAAAAATTCAAATCAACGACTAATTCGTGTTTACGAGACGCGGAAGCAATTGTCATCTTTGATAATGGCTTATGTAAGCCGAAAGCTTAGATTGGATTTAAACATGTATCAATATGGTGATTTCCTTTCGTCTTTCAATGATAATGTTATTAAGCTTATTAGACAATATGAAAGGAATTTACTTAAAATAAATAGACAAAACTTTTCTATATTATTTAATGAAACATACATTAATATATATATCTACACACACACACACATACACATATATATATAATTTATTCTATTTCAATTTACAAGATGAAAATGATCAGTAACCTAATGTAATCTTAATTCTATTTATATATATATATATCTATATATATCTATATATATCTATATCTATATATATATATATATAAAATGTTGTAATAATTCATCATCCATTGACTAGTTTGAAAAATCCTTGTAAATTCTATTACAATTTACAAGATGAAAATGATCAGTAACCTAATGTAATCTCAATTCTATTTATATAAAATATGTTGTTCTGTTTAATTAAAACATTGAGTTCTATGTGTGAATCAGTTTTAATATTTTTATATTGTATTAATAGGATTTACTTGCATTATATACCAACAGATTATATATATATATATATATATATATATATATATATATATATATATATATATATATTTGGTTAAATAATTTAGACATATCATGTCTATTTATTTTAGTTTTAAGTCTACGAATTAATTTCTTGGTGGCTGTAGAAAACTGATTGAAGTTGAAGTCACGTGATATTTTTGTGGTCATGGTTTTTTTGTGAAACACAAGAGAGCAGTAAAACCATGTATACTTCTTAGCAGAATCATCTGAAGTGGGTTTATTTACCATTTTAAAAACCTTCAGTCTTTACATAAGAGTAGTAAACTGCCAGGCCTCAGCACCCCACAACAATGTCGAATGATTGGCGTGCTTTACTTTGCTGTGTGTAAAGATCAAAAGGTTGTAGACCAAAAGCAGGCGAGAAAGAAAGCAAGCCCGGATTAAATGGAGAAAGAAGCAGGGATTAAATGTTGAGGTCAGATAAGTAATCCTAAAGTAATTGATGAATTAAGATCTAAAAAGTGAATTTCTTTTCTTTACTATGAACGCAAATAGCACCGAAATTCCATCGTAATTAAAATTAGACATTTATTTTCATCGTGTATAAACGTGAAATAAGACCTTTCAACAAATGTAGGTAATTATATTCTTAATATATTTTAAAATCAAAATTGAAAGGAATTTGTTTATTATTGATTAGAAATCCAAGATTTAAGTTTGGGTTTTTGATGATATACGAAAAAGAAATGGAATTCAATAATTATTTAATTTAAAAGCTGTGATATTAAAACGTCACAAAAAAAGAAGGGTCTTAAATTGATTGCAAGTAAAACTTGAGCTTCAATCAAGTTCTAAGAGAAAATTCTGGAAATCGACTATAAACGATCCTAAATAATATGATAATCAATATTACTGAAATTCTAGGTGTTAATGGAGTTAATTTAAGATTAACGTTTCTTTTACAGTCGGTTAGTGTTTTAATGTAATAAAACCGCAAAATCAAAGAATTAACATCCAAGGATAACTGATAATCAATGGATAAGAACCAATTCTGGCAGTGGTGCTAGCAAATCTTAATCAAATCGAAATTAGAATTAAAAATTTAAATTTTAAACTAAAAACTGAGGTTATTGTATGCTTTTTCTGCTCTAACTCGAAATGAACGTCGGATTTAATAAATAAAACGATTTATTAAAGGATTATCACTGATCACGCTATATCAGAAGACAAGTGTCATGGCAACGGGCTTTAAATTTTAATTAATTTTAAATTAATTCGAATTTGGATATTAATTTGTAAAACTAATTTAATTCGAAAAAATAATATAATTCGGATGAATTTCTGCGCAAATCAGAAACTATTTGAATATATTTTCCTCTTAATGAAATAGAAACTATTTATTTAAACTGGATATTATTTATGTTTACGATCAGTACAGGATATTCAACCAGGACATACACAGATATGTGTGTGTATGTGCGTGTGTATGTGTGTGTGTATTTCATGATTTCTCCATTATTGTCTCACCTGTGCTTTCGTGCCATGGCTGTTGGCTTTGGAAAGCTTCTTCGTTCTCGGCGGGAAAATGTTCCAAGACAGACGAACGTGGTCAACAGAAGACGTACAAGACGTGTGATTTTATACATATTCGGTTACCAAAAACCAAGAATGACGACTCTGGGGTTCAGGCATGGGTTCAGGATCCGAGTATCATTGCCACTAAACCAGGGTTCCTCTCCCGGACGAACACCCCGGTACCACCAGACATTGTTGGTTTGATAATGTGAAATGCCAGATGACGATGTGACCGTGTCCTATATTTCTTACATTCACAAATTTTCAGTTAGTGTTCATGAGTCCAGAAAGGAAACCTTGATTTAATGATGTGAAATTTGATTTAACTGTCCAGATGACAAAGTCAAGTCACCGAGAAGTTAACGTGAACTTCAAATTGGAAAGGCGAAACGACATTCCACACAATCCTATCCTTAAATTGCTAACTCAGGCTGACTAAGAAATCCAGTCTGCTGTTCTATTTTCCTGAGACGTGTTACTAAAATCGATTTACAATCTCAGTCTAAAAGTTATACCGTTGTCGACAGAGGCAACTAATTTTCTCAGATATTTCTGCACTATTTTCTAATGTGATAATATAAATTTTATTCTCCAGCCCAACTCTTTGGCCATCGGGAAGTGAAACTCATTTGCGCTGTGTGGCGTTTCAGTCCCTTGGGAATGCACACTGTGAATCGGGTTATTAACTCTTAGCTATGTGGCAGTATTTCCCCAAATGTCACTCATCGTTCCTCGTCTCATCCGAACTTTCCTGTAAGTTTACAATTTTGACAATTTTCGCACTTACGCTTCTGCAATAAACAGCAACGCCTGTGATGCCAAGAAACTCGCAAATCAGATAGGGACTCTGGCGGTTAGCATGAAGATCAAATTGACAATTCTGACGAACAGAAATTCGTTCATTTCAAAGCATTTCAGTGCAGCATATGCCATCTTTCAAAATAGAAACATTTGATTGTTTACCTAGTTTGGTTTTCGAGGTATTGACTAACTTCACAACTTCAGCCATGATGAACGGATGTCCCCCCCCTCAAGGAGGCTCCGTACCTTGAGAGACTATTGGGTTTTAAACTCACTCCTGACCTCAAATGAAACCCCTAAATACACTTCATCGGTAATTGTCACAAAAAATATATAGCAGAAACCCCAAGAAATCTAAATAAACGATTATATAAACACAAAAGAGACATTTTACAAAACAATAGGTCGGATACGTTGATTGCCCACCGTAACAAGACTGACTATAATTTTGGCATAATAAATGCTACTCTGATCAAAGGAGGAAACAATTCAATATGACGTAAATGTCTAGAGATTATCTTGATCGCAAGAATAATTCACAATAAATTTTCAGCCTGGCTCTTAAAACATTTTACCATTTCTGACAGATCTTTTAATATCTCAATGTGGGATATTTAATAACAAAAGTTATGGAAAGAAAATGGAAAAGTCTCTAAGTGAATTTGGCTAGATATATAAAAAAGAAATTCTAAAAAAAATTCTAAAATCCCCAGCACCATTATTTTTAGTGTCCGTGTGTGTGTTTGTGCGCGTGTAGCCATGCGCCCGTCTATGCGAATGCACGTACGTGGAGGGTGTCGTGATACCTAACTATACTTAACTATGTTTTTTTATTATTAGTTTTTAACTTTACGCTCGCTCCTTAATTTTTTTGTTGCTTTTTCTTTCGTTTATTATTATTATAATCTCCAGGCATGCCACCGTTTTTAAATTTGGAGCCTTCTAGTTTATTACTTTTTCTTTTTTACTTTTTTTTTTTTTGGACACACACATACACAAACATACACACACATATATATTTATACGATATTAATGCTTAAGTGATAAATACTTATATATATATACATATATATATATATATATATACACCAAAAAACACACTCATGTTTATATATCTTCATTAGGCAATTATTTCGTTTTTTTATTTGGCTTCGTGGTATCATAAATATTAATTGTCTGAGGTTAGATTTATGATTAAATTTTTATTTATTATTGTTTGAATTTATGCGCAGGTGTCTGTATTTATTCGCTCTTCCATACACACACGTACAAATTTAGACACGCACGTATATAGATATACGTACGTTTATATATATACACATGTAAACGCGCGTACGCCAGGCACATGTACACTTATGTTAGTGCTTTGTTATTAATAAACTAGAGCTTAAATGGTAAAGTTATTTTTTCTATTTTTAAGGTATTATAGTTGAATGGGTTTATAGAATGTTTTCCTTGTTGTTTGAGTATCTATCTATCTATCTATCTATCTATCTATCTATCTATCTATGTGAAAGTGTCAAAATGTTCTACACATTCTGTGTCCAAAAATAAAAAACACTTGGTCCCATACGCACATATACGTAATTGTTAAATAAAGTTAGTGTTTGATTATATCATGTTATCGTTTATGTAATGTTTCATTTTATTTAATCGCTATTAGTTTATTTGTTTTTTCCTAGGTGTTATATATTGAAGTATTAATTATGGGGTATTATGTTTGTTCGTTTTTAGGTGTTTGTGCGTGTGTGCTTGCCTGTATGTCTATATTTATATATACATGCACACACACACGCGTATATGCGTGCATGTTTAATATTCGTTTATTTATTTATTAATAATTATTTTTATTACATTATTTTATATTATATCTTTTTATTTATTTATTTAAAATTTATATTATATTTGTTTATTTTTAATTAGTGCTTAGATGGCAGAGTAAATATTTATTTCTACGCCTAAATTTTTACGATTATTGCAGTTTTCTTGTTGAAGAGTTTATTGTGGTTTTAAAACTAATTATTGCTAATTTTCCTCTAAGCAAATATATATATATATATATATATATATATATATATATATATATATATAATTAAGTTACGAAGAACTTGGTAAACCGAATGGGTAATTCCAAGGAGGATGAAATCCTGAGAGCTCAATGTGAATACAGAGCTAATATTTAATGAAAAAACAGACCACTTTAAGGTACCATTACAATAATTTATTTCACCAAAATCCTTTTTAAAGGACTCCGGATCATCAGGTAACACTTCCAACAACGAAATGAAAGGAAAAATGGGATTAGAAATTGATGGGTAGTGTAATTTTTGTAATTTAACAGGGAGGGTGAGAGTTGTAGTTAACGAGACAAGGTAGAGTATAGGGAGGGGTTAATTTCATATTTCTCTTAAGCATGCTTTATATTGGGGTAGGAAGAGTGACCGAACCGTGACCTATTTAGAAGGTTAACTTAACAGAAAAGATATATAGGAATGGGAGGGTAGTGGGGGGAAAAGAAAAGGAAAAATGGAAAGGAGAGAGGAGATATACAACAGTAATACAGATATATCTAAATGAGTGTTACGGCAAAGAGAGAGGGGGAAAGGGAAGGGAATCGAAAAGGCTGTAATCTAGTTAAAACAAAATTATGTAAAAGATAGATTTCAATGCTTGATAGAAATTTAGATGTCTAAAAAATGATGAATGTTACCAATTTAAACATTTAATTTTTAAGTAAATAGTTTAGGGACTTAATATAAGTTAACTACTATTTTTATTAGCACATTTATCGAGAACATATTAAAGAAATATTTAAAATTATAATAGTTTATTTACCCGACCAATTGTACTTTCATAATATTGTAAAAAAAAATTTCGGTTACAATAACATCTATATTAATTTTACTTTAAATCTAATTTATGAATGTAATTTTTCTTTATTATTATATGGCTAAACTTAATTAAGGTTTAGGTTTCATCATTTAATAATATTTGAGGGTAATATTAAAGATTTTGTTTTCTTCTTATATGTATCTCACAAAAACATATTCATGCAAATCCACATATACATACGTCCATTTACATGTGCAAATACACACATAGACACACGTGCAACAATATACACAAAAGTTCATCCATCTTCATACATAAATTACATATACACACATACATTTCTCAATCATTACCTATATTTTATCGTTTGAAATTAAAATTATATATATATATATATATATATATATATATATATATATATATATATATATATATATATATATATATTATCCTGGACCTAGCAACTTTAAATTCATGTTCTTAAAAACATGTTCATTTACTGAAACAATTAATTTGGCTAATATAGATACATACCATATATTCGTTATTTTAGTAAATTTATTTGATTTCATTTAAGCAAAAGTAAAAAATAAAGTTTTCGGTTGTTTTCCAAATCTCTGCAGTGCAAATTAACCCGGATGTAAATTTTAAAAGAAAAAAATGTATAATAGGAATATGCTTTGTCGTATTAATCTTGTGCAGAAACTAGTTATTTCCAGTGTATTTTATAATGTTTAGTTCAGCATTTCAAACAGAACCAAAGAACAATTAAGTCAGACAGTCGCGCCCACGATCATAGACATGAATATATTGTTATTAGTTGCGAGTTTTGCAGCAGATTCGTTGGAAAAACAACAAGCAGTGATTTTGCAAGCAAATCTTTTTTTTTTATTTTTATATATATTTTAGTAGGAGTTTATTCAAACCATTTTACATCAGCCAAAACAGGCACACACACACACACACACACACACACACACACACACACACACACACACACACACATATATATATATATATATATATATATATATATATATATATATATGAGTAATAGTAGCTAAGTGATGACTTTTGTTCTCCAGAGTAATAGCGGTATTGTTGGAATCAGTTTAAAATATAAAAGAAGTGGAAAGAGAAATATAAAAGATTGGTAGGGAAATACAACAAATCCCGGTTACATTTTTTTTACATCGAAACGTTAAAGAGACAGGGATGTTGAGTTTGAAATTTATCTTTTGACGTTCAATGTATGCGAATGTTTTTTTTCCGATCTCATACAACTTTTTATCGCTTTTTGCTTTGTTTTCATTGATTCTCTTTCCAATTATTTCTATCAGGTGGAATTTTATTTGGAAAGGAGAGATATGTTCTGTGAATCCGGATGTAAATTTTTCGTAGAGGGATTTCGAAATTAGTCCATTTTCAATACATTATGGTGTCATGATTTGGCCCTATGTACAGCTGACATTTGCGTTGAATTATTTTGTGATGAAAAACCTACCCGATATAATATTGATTGTAGACCTTCAGGACACTTTTATGTGAATTGCTTTATATTTAAACTAATATACACGTGCAAAAGGTCAAAGAGTATATCGTCTGGAAGATTGTGTTAAAATAACAAAGATGGCCGTAGGTGAAAAATGATAACGAATAATAATACCTAATGTGAGATTTTCAGAAAACAAAGAAATATACCAGAAGATAAATAGATAAATATCAATGGAGGTGACTAGCTTGTAACATTCAGTGCCTTCCCAACTAAACTATTAACACCCCATCATCACTGGGGAGAGACTGGATTTTTCCCAGTCAATATGAACCAGCATGAATTCTCAATGAGTGTCCTTAACTTGAGCGCCTATTGGGACAAACTCAATCCAGAAGTCAAGTAGAAATCGTACATAAAATCCGTCTCTAAAGATGCTGGGAAAATGGTTGGTTTCTTGTAACCGCTCCAGTAAGTACCTGACTCCTCTTGCTATCTTCTACTTTTACAAAAGCCAGATTAAGCCGAAAACGGAGTACTGCTGTCATATATAGTCAGGAGCTTCCCAGTCCTCACTTTCCACGTCCTTGCGGGTGATGAATCATTTCCACTCTGCAACGCCTCTCTCAGAGAGGGAATGTTGGAAGCCCCTCACTGCTCTATTTCCAGGGAAAGTGCTCAGATGAGCTACATTCCACTAGTTCTAACCTTCAGGGCTAGGAATCACCATGCTGCACGTATTGTAGCAAATCACCCTCATTCCCATCACATTCTATTGTTAAGAAGAAGGCAGCTTCTTTCTGCGAACCGGTGTTCTGTGGAATCGACTCCCAAGAGGATACTTTCCGATCACTACAATCTTAACCTGTTCAAGTTTAGGGTTAACCTCTATTTTCCCCAAATATCCGCATAAATCGTGCCCCTCGGTCGAATAATCTTCATTCACTTTGTTTTCCTATGATAAAAAGGAAATTCCACCCAGAGAGATTCTTCCAGAAAACAGCTGCTCCCGAGGGCATGCTTCCCTGACGTTTACAATGTTAATCACTTAATGTCAAGGGCTAACCATTATCTATATTACAAGTTTTCATAATCTGAAATTACTCCTTATTCAATAACTGTTATGCTGTGGCAAACGAACTTTTTTTCCTTCCACCGAATGAGTTCGAATCGCTCGTCGCCACTGTTATGGTCCGGTTCCTTGTACCCCGGGTGATAGTCCAAGGTAGAACCAATAAAGAAGAACTCGAATATGGATATGGAATAACACAGATATATTACAAACAGGAATATATACAGAGAGGTAGAACAGTATTAGTACGAACAATCAGGTTTAGTAGTAATTGTCTGAACGCAACTCTGTTCGGACTGCCTCTGACTCGACTGACTGACTGACTGACTCGATGGCTCTGACTAAATGACAGACTCCTGACGGACTTCACTTCAGACTTCAGACTGAACTCCCTGCTTCCTCTTGAGGCGCAGTATTTATTACGTATGGAATAGTCCATTATGTTATTATGGGTATGGTCCCATAACACTAACACTCTACCTTGAGTGGCACTTGAGATTTTGACTGGTTGACCATTTAGTAAAAGTAGTCAGAAAATATATGAAATATTTTACTAATATGTTTTCGCATCTTATTAACGTTTCTTTCATTTTTTTATATGTGATTTTGACATGAGAAGATTTCAATTTCCGAATAAAGAATGTTATTAATGTGAAGCAGAAGAAAAAGAGAAAACCTTGTGAACGTTTAATTAATGTCGCGTTGTCGTTGAGATAAACAGACAGGAATGCAAAACTTGTGAATGTCGAGTGCAGTTTTCGTTTTTTCTTTTTTTTTTCTTATTTTATTTACAGGGCAGTAAAAATTATTCAGAATCTTCTTGCAAACAATATGGCTACTGTGCCATGGAGCTGTCAAGCACTTCCGTTGTGAATAATTACAAGCAGGCAGTCTAGCCGGATGTTCAGTTTCTTAAAACCTCCCCGGCTCTTGCGAGTTCATCACATCTTCCCTAAACTCGCGTCTGATAGATTTCTTCATAGAGTGAAACATATATATATATATAACAGCGTACATGTGCGTACGCATAGATATATACACACAGACACAACAGCATATCATATATATGTTACTTTATATTTTAAAATATAGAAATGAATATCTAGGCGTTCACAAAATGGTTGCATACACCCCCCCCCACACAGAAACACACACATACACATATATATGTATATGTATATATACTATATATATATGTATATATATATACCATATATATATATGTGTATATACTATCTATCTATCTATCTATCTATATATATATATATATATATATATATATATATATACTAGGAGTCTTCGCCCGCTCGCTATCGCTGCGCAAAGTAAAATATATTTACTACTTGAAAAATTTGAAACAAAAATTTTAAATGAACATTTCATTCATAAATTGGATTGTTAAGGAAAGTTTTACAAGTAGACACCAACTTGTTGAAAGCCAAGTAAGATGTAAATTTCAAACACTTTTCTTCACTATATAAGACGATATTCCTAAACAGAACTATTTTTGATATGCAAATTAGTTAAATCTGAAGAGTGATATTGTCTAGAAGTAGATAATATATAATACAGATATTGATACTGCAATTTGTGATTTAGGATACAAAAAGAAAATAAGAGTTATTACCCTTGAAACATGAAAGTCGCAATAATGGCTTGTATAATATATTAATATATACTTTTAACCTCGCATAATCTGGCAACCCTGAATCTGAGCACAACGAAAATCCTTCCCTGCACCCAACTTTTCTATCGCTTTTCAATGAGCTAAGAATCATTGAAATCGGACCAGTAGGAACGGAGGAATTTCTTGGACACACACACGCACAAACGCATAAATTGTACTTTATATATAAGATATATGGGATAACAATATGTAAATTTTAGATAATGTTTTATAGATCAGTAACAGTTTTGAAAGAAAAAATGAATTACGCATTGGAAAAAAAGTTTTTGTGATGCGTTTCATCCGTGTCACAAAAATATTTTAAAATTTGCCATGCATTTAAGTAAATGCTCTGTATCCCTAAATGAACAACATTAATCACATCTACCGACCTGAATACTCGAGAAATGTCCTAAAAAATATGCGTTCTCGGACAGGAATCGGACCCACGCGGAACCAACGTACCATTGTTTATAAACAGTTATTTGGACTTTGCTAATCAGACGCTTCTCTGTAGCTGAAAGGTATGGCACATCGGATCGGTTAGCGGTCCCGTTTAGGATACAGGTTCGACTCCTGTCAGACAGAGAACGTATATTTTCTACATTTCTCGAACATTCAGGCCGGAAGATGCGATTAATGATCTTTAGGGAACAGAGCATCTAATTATATATATATATATATATATATATATATATATATATATATAATTTTCTGGCGTTCATCCAATCACTTGTTTAAAAATTTACAGCGCTGGGAACTTTTCATACATTTATTGGCTTACAGCTATACAACACTGAAACACCGGTTCTCGTACGATCATCGAAGTTAAACAACGTGAAGCCTGGTCAGTACCCAGATAAGTGACCGCTTGGAAATACCAGGTGTTGTAAGCTTGGATGTGCGGGTGGTGTAAATGGATAATGGCTTGGAAATCGGAGTCGGGTTCGTTCTATTCCTTTACGCGCAAATACGCTTAGGAAAGCTATGAAACCACCTCTTTTACCCCATCTATGGGTTAATTATTAAGACTTGCATATTATGGCAACAACTCTAAGTAGAAGCTTCTTAAGCTTTATTTGACTTATTCTACAGGGTAGTCCAAAACTCTTGTTTACCCCCTACCAAAAAGTAATTCGAACAAGTGATTCACTAATTCAAAGCACATGTACTGAATTTAGTTTATTCACTTTCATTGATGCTGTCACACTGTAGGAGCTCGTGTCAGCCATTTGAAATAGAAAATGATATGATGTCTCGGGTGACATCACCTTCGGACCACCCTGTAATGTGGTGCTGAAAAAACATTTATTTTATTGTGATGGATTGTTACAAACGAGAGAGAAGATAGGATGTGCTTATATTAGTACCACAATATCTACCGGTAAATCATTATTATCTTCAAAAAATATTTTCTGGTTTTAAAACAATCGATCACACATTTATTCTATATCTCGAGGTCTAATTGAGTTTGTTTAACGACGAATAGCGCAGTAAATAGAAACCTCTTACAATTCCAACTATTTTCATTTTGTATTTTAACACATTGGGAGAAAAGGCATTATTCAGACTATTATCATCATCTTTGTCATCATATTTATCACAACGTTTCGGCCGTTGTACACTTCGGCCTTTTTCAGGTGGTTGGAATGTCGAAGTGAACCCTTTATTTCGCTCGCTGGAGTAGATTGATCTAGTTCCACGTGCCATGTCCAATGGATGTCAGTTATCAGTTATCTCCTGTTAATTCCCCTCTCCAACTTCTCCATCGCCTTAACCAGGTATTGAACTCGCACTCTTTGGGTCCTGTCACTGATAACTGACAACTGACATCCATTAAACATGGCACGTGGAACTAGATCAGTCTACACCAGCGAGCGAAATAAAGGGTTCAGTTCGACATTACAACCACCTGAAGAAGGCCGGAGCGTGCAAAGGCCGAAACGTTGTGATAAATATGGCAAAGAAGATGAGGACAATAGTCCGAATAATGTAAATAGTATACATAATAGCTCATCTCAGAAATACAGAGACATGTAACCTAATCAAATCTGTTGTATGTTATTTAGATAGCGAGTCAAGATTGCTGTCTTAATGACCTACTAGACGATGAGATCATTTAGAACTTTAAATATTGTTTCGTATATCAAACATTTATGTTCACATGCGATATGAAATGCGCGCACTGTTTTTTACATCAAGTTTTCTATTCATATATAGAATACAATTTATATGTCACGAGTATGAAGATGTGAATTCATAAAAGATAAGGAAAATAAATAACCCTCCCTTCACATTAAATGTGGAACTGTTAACAAAATGAATCAATATTTCTTGCGTATTGATTAAATATCAATTAGATATTGATAATCTACAAGCAAGTATTGAAAGTGACGTTCATTAACATTTCCATCTAATGAATCGTAGTAATGAATCCTTGGAGGCGTCCTTGTTCAAGATTTTGAGCCAATTCATTATTAAACGCATCGTGCCACACGTGTGATCATTCAAGAACTTTCTTCCACCCACATAAGAATTCCCGGACATCATTCATAACTCTTATGACAGACACACATTTCTCCAACTGTTCACGTAAAGCTCTACATTCTCCCCCCACCGCCATTACCCGTATCCGCCAGACGACGCTTTTTATCTCATCTTCGCGTTGTTCAAAATGAGAACCACGTGTTGAAACATTTCGACGAAAGCCTCTGCCTTGAAGTGCACTGTTAATGAATGGAGTCCCGATACAAAAGGATATTGGCGCCTGGTTTGGCCGCGACAAAGAATTGAAACTATGCTTCGTATATTCCGGACTGTTAAATTCATATTTGTTTTTCATAAGTCAACGTTTTTGACAAAATATATTCATCATCCTTCCGCTTTTTCTAAATATTTTCAACATTTCAGAAAGTATTCAGACTGTTGTCGTTATCTTTGTTGTTTTTAATAAACATCCTGCCGATTTATTTTTTGAACTTTCACTTTTTGTACTTCACTGAAGTACTTAACATGTATCTTGTTTTATGGCAATTTGGACTCCAGTTCTGTTGTTTTAATACTGAAATATACCGCCAAATATTATTAATATATTTAATAAGCAATTTAATTAAATAGAATGCATTTTATATTTCTTCTTTTACACGTTGTGATCATCAGTACCTCTAATGAAGATGATTACTTTCTACGCTTGTTGCTAACAAAACTGTTGAAGCTTAAATAAGCATGGAATAATACAACACAAAATGTACGTTAACAAAATGTATTGAAACAAAGAATAGGTTTTTAATATTTTACAGTTAGTTTGGTATATTCTTGGGAAGACTGTTCCTGCATAATGGGTTGACTAAATCGCAGTCGGGCAGAGTCTCTGGATTCAATTTCTTAATCTCTACTATCTTCCCCGTCTTCCGGTACCAACCCATATTTATATGGTCGGTAGTCCGCTTATGTAAATTAGGTGTATCATACACAACAAAAACCATTTCTCATCTGAAAAAATCTGATGAAGAAAAGGCCTTTTTTTTACTCTTAGACATTATGCTGTTGTAAATGACTAAACTCTGTCCTAGATTCTATTGGGACTGATTAAACGCTTCATTCGATTCTGTTTCAAAATATTCAAAGTTGTTCTTCATTCCATTGCAAGTGTCTGGACGCGGTGTCTGATTCTCTTGCAAACGCTTTGAATCCAAAATCAGTGGCACTGATCCAAAATAAAGAACAAGCCGCTAGCGAGTTTTGTTTTTGAAGCTTGCCTTTCGTGGGTAGATACCTTACTGGAATAGGCTAGAATGGCAACCCGTATGAGTCATTCAGATTTAGCCATATAGCTAAATAATTCTTTATTTCTCCGAACACTAACTCCGCTATATTGTTTGTTTACATGCGTCTTGTATAAGGATTATTAACAAAGGGGTTAATTTTCAAGAGCCTAGATTATCAAAATAATCCCAGTTACCTTAGCATTTGCGTACAGTAATTGCATCTGGAGACACATCACAAAATAGTCTTTATTTTCTGTGTTGTATTCCTGTCTCTTATAAAATACTGAATGTGGAATTGGTTAACTTTCCAAAGTTTTTGTTGCAATTGTGATGAAGCGTTAATCTAAACTATAAACGATACAAAACCTGGCAGGATGGCTGTTAAACTACATAGAGATCACGTTGTTTGCTATTTAAAGGCGATTTCTTTTATATGCCACTGGTGAAATGGATTAGCAACCCGGAATAAGAAATTGGAAAGCCGAATTCGAATTCCAGTCGAGGTCATTAAATTCATTTACGCACAAATATCCTTGAGAAAATTATCAATCCATCTTCCCCCAGCTATGGCTTAAATAGTAGGAGTTGTATTTCGGAAAATTGTTGCTCTCATAACATTGTTAATACAATATTTACTCGCAAAAATAAATTCTCACCTATCCAAAATATATTTCGATTTTAAATAAGCCACAAAAGGTTGATAATCCGTAAAAAATCATTTAATAAATCTGATGTTTTTTCTCTCGAAGAATGATTGCTTGTAAAATGACATGCTTAAATACGATATTAGTTACATAACACACGAATATTTTGATTGGGATCCACAGATAAATTTTACTTTGCTTTTTGAATATGGAATATTTTCTTCATCGACTTTTGGTAAATTTCTTCAGTTGAAGAGTCTTTCAAGCTTTTCATCTGTTTTTCTTTTTCCCTCCGAAAGGTTTAGCCAAGGCAACAACACAACTCGACAACCAATGAGATTCGCGTGACGATGGCTAGACCAGTGAAAAATATGACCTCAGTTACTTTTTTTTGTGAAATTCACCAAATTAAACTTTTGTTTGACTCATGAGTAGGGTTAAATAAATCAGTGATCTACTGTCTTGAAAAGGAAGCCTTTTCGTCGGCCGAATGTTGGAACAGATGGCGGCATAGAATGCATAAACTGACGGACCGGTTTTCTTGTAGCGCCTGACCGGCATGCCAACGCGATTAGCCTATGAAAGGGTGGCACTGTATTTGTTTAGTCAAACGAAGAAACGATAAAGAAGAGAAGAAACGAAGCAAAAATACAACGCCCTTATGTAAGGCAAAACAGCAGATTTTGCCATGGTAACAAATTTGGAATCTGTGTTTAGATACAAAATGCTCTCCGCCTTCGTTGAGTTTTCAATCTTCATCCTGTTGGGAATCTGCAAATGGTTAGAAAACAGAATCGGAAATAAAAGACTGATAATTAATCGAGGGAAGGATTATTTTGAGATCACAAGGATTTAAAACCAGACAACTCTCTCTCTCTCTCTATATATATATATATATATATATACCTAACCTGTTTTTATATATCTATTTCAGTAAATTCGTATCTGTTGCAGTTTCTGTAATACTAAATAGAAGGCATTACTTTTGGAGCGTTTCGCGTATATAAATATTAACTATTTATATACGCGAAACGCTCCAAAAGTAATGCCTTCTATTTAGTATTACAGAAACTGCAACAAATATAAAGAGATTCTTGCAAAAAGCCAAAGAAGAATCTATTATCGGTCCTGACCTAACATCTCGGTCGCCTTAGCTTGGCTTTTTCTATAAATATTTTCATCATAATTGTCCTGATAAGGCTTCCCTTTGATACGTTAATTTCATGAATTTAAGCGCAGTACTAGATTGGCTGCAAGGTCTCATCATTTTACAGTTGAAATGAGGAGATGTAACCGTAAGTTCTATGCTAACAGTTTCTTCTCCCACACTTCTCACTTGTGGAACTCTCTTCTGATTTCTTGCTTTTCCTTTTAACTACGATATTCGAAAATTTAAATGTAATGCTGATGGTCATCTTTTGTCTCCTACAAAACCAGTTCTTTTATTGCCTTCTCTGTTCAATATTGTTTTTCTCAGATTCTT